AAAAGCTTTGCTAAAAAGAAATGCATCTGGAATCAGTTTAAATGTTCTCTTGTATCACGAGACAGTTTTAGTACAACGTACAGAATACACACCTGAGCACAATGGGAGACAGTTATAGTACCGTAACACACCAGAGACTGTACAGAAAAAAGTGAATATGTGCAGATGTTTATTTCATCTTGTTCTGTTAAAGCGTCATTCTGATTCTGCCAATTCTGAATTTACTCTGAAGCAACACTATATGATTAAACTATACATTGAAATACACATAATATCAGTACAAACAATAATATTTAAAGACTTTATTAAAATATTGGAGGAAATTATGATTTCATTCAATTCCTTCTCAGGTTCTACTATCAATTCATTGTTGCTGCTCTACATTATTAATAAATCCAAGAGGAAGAAATAAAAAAAAAGCTTTTTATGTCCTTTCTTGAGTTCATTCATTTCTGAATGACCGGCTGATTGACAACTACATCACTTTGGTTTGATGTCGATTTATGAGTCAGACTTTAGAAATGTGATATTTACAAAACAAAATCAATCAATTTAATTTAATGAGTGGATTTTATATGTTTCAGTTCTTCTCTCCTTCCTCTGCGTCTCCGTCATTCTCTGACCCAGACTCCCTCTCCTCAGTGAGGGAATTTTCCCTCAGTCCCGACATTGGGACCAGCTTCCCCTCTGAATCCACTCCCATCGGCTGGATGATGTTATCTCTGTAAAACAAATGAGGGGTAAAAAAAAAAACCTGTACAAGTTTTAACATTGATCTTATTGTTCTTATTTAATCTCTGTCTGCACTGGACACTTAGTGAGGAGGGTTTTTTTTTATCTTTTCAAAGTGTTGCCATTGTGAAGATTTATAAAAAATAAACTTGATCTAAATGATCTCTGCATAAAAATGTTGATAAGACATGTGAGTCTTTGTCATTTCACTGACCTGGACAGCTTGTTGAAGAGCATGATCAACCTCTTAGCCTCCTCCTCCTTCTCCTCCTCTGTCATGCCCTCCATGGGGTCCGGCTGCTCTGCCTCCACCCGCCCCGTCACCAGGTTGATGCGATCTTTGACCTGCCGGTACTCGTCGGTGTCTGAGTCAGAGTCGCTGGAGTACTGGCTGTCCGAGCTGGAGGCCTTGGCCCCCTGACCGCCCAGCAAACCTCTGGTGGCCAGCAGGCCTGCCGCATTGCCGTAGCCCGTGTGCTTCACAAAACGACTCACTGGAAGAAGAAGAAGAAGAAGAAGTGAAGGTGAAAATTGGTGGAGAGAGTATTATATACACAAAAATGAATGTTGAGTTAAACCATTTATTGTTTGATGTTTATTATTAACGTGTGTAAGCTATGTACAGAAAATGAGACATGAACATTAGAGAAACTAAAACATTTTCTCAACACCACACTGACACCCCAGGCAGTCACTGATTACCTATACATGTTGTACAGACATGCATTGCTATAAAAAAAATAGGCTGGGCTGAATTTCCAAGAAATGTGTACAAAATCATACATAAAACTGTTGCATTGTATTTGACTGAAAATTGTAATGTAAAGAATCCCTGTTAATCCATAGAGAGTGATATCGTTTTACCATTTTCTTTGCAGAGGACGAAGATCAGGTCAGCGGCGCAGTGTTTGACATCTGTATCCAGATGAGTCATGAGACGGATCAGACGACTCTTCACTGTGGAGCCTTCCTCTGGCCTGTGTGATACATCTCTCAGAGGAGGCAGGATCTAATGACGGGGATAAACTATAATGTCAGTTGCGTTTAACATTTTAGAAAAGAAAATGTGACATGGGCTTTCTTTAAAATGTTTTTGGGGTATTACGTGTTTCCTGATGTAATGGCGTGTTTCTCTGTGGGCCCTGCAGCTCTCTGTCAGCAGATTGAGGATTGGTGTCAGCCTCTCTTTGATCTTATCACCCTGAGAAGTAAACCAACAAGCAAGACTCACTCAGATTATTTCAGTATTAGTTACAGTAGTTTTAGTTTAGCCACTCAGTGTCCTCTCTGCATATTGCTTTCTCCCTCACCGACTCTAGGCGTCTCTCCATGAACTGCACCAGCGCGTGGACACAGTCCATGTTGACTCCCTGGCACTGCTGCGAGCCTGGCTGCAGAGGCACCATCAGCAGCACATCGAGACACTGGAGAGGCAGCGCTGACAACAGGTTGATTGTGTGACTGTTTGAGTGAAAGAAGATTACAGACACAGAGAGTAGATAAAAGAGAGAGTGGTGGATTATTATTTACCGGTAAACACACACACACACAGAAAAAAATGTGGTAAAAATACAAACACATATTCCTAATAAAGCTGTTATCAGAATTACTGAATCCTTTACACAGTATTATAAAGTGAGACACAAATGTAATATTGGCCCATTTCTTTATCATGCTTGATACAGAACAAATGAAAATGAATGAAATTTTTGTAAATTTTAAGTACGCAAGAAGAGGATATGTGCTATCAAATCTAGAAGTACTAGTACAGAATAATATGTATACATTAATGAGTATTATTTTAAATTATATCAAAAACAAAGCTTCTTTATATAAGTAACATTGAGGAGGTTTAATTGAACAAACCCAAGTAGATTTCATAAAAAGCGTTGAGGGTATTGATTCTAAGACTAAAGCCCTCTTTTCCATTCCCAGACTAACAACTAGTTCACTGATTAATATAAAATACATTTATTAAAACTAATTTGTCAGAAAATCTATAACACTAAAGATTACATTTCCCTTTTAATCTTGGTTCTACCTGTACTGCACATGCTGTAAACACACAATTAAAAACCATAGTATCCAGATCATTTTGAAAACACAGTATTTTGCCATTTATCCCATTTTAACTGAAAATTTTAATTTAACTGACGCTTAATGATGATTTTATTTCTATCCAACTTTGGCTCATGCTCACCCCTGCAGTTCATCTGTGTCGTCCGAAAGCATACACTTCCTCATCAGGCAGACACGCAGGAGCGCCACCAGGTGTCGGTAGAGAGCTGCATCATCCTGAGGGAAGATAAATACAGTGCAGCTCATTTCTCTATGGTAATGTGTGAAGTACAGTTGAGAGAGGATAGAGGTTAAGGAAAGGTTTTGATTGCCATTTTGTAGAGGCCGACATTGTACCTGAAGGCTGACAGGTTTATTATAGACTCATAGTCACTGACCTCACTTGGCTCCTGCCTGTGGGTGCTGTAGGTGATGTTGAAGAGGATTTTTAGAATCTCTATGACACACTGAGAGGCTTCCAGTGAGATGGGTGGTGCTGCTGGGTCCAGCACACACTCATACTGGTCCTTCCAATGAACATCCAGGCAGCCCTCCAGAGCTGCAGTGAGGATGGACACACCTCCCTCCTGGAGGAGCACCATAATGTGTGTGAGAGCAGGAAGGAAGCCAGTTTAGAGGTGTAGAACAAAAATCTTGGTCTGTTCGTATCAATATTGGAATAAACTAAAGGTGAGACGATAAACAAAAAGAGATGTAGCTCCAGGGATTGTTACATCGGAATAATCTACCATATATTGTACCTACCATAATATATACTACACTAAATATTTAATACTTTGGAGTAAGTGAGGTTGTGTTACCTGTTGAAGCTGTGTCCTGAGCTCTGGCCGTAGTGCAGTAATGAGGAACAAGAGGCGTAGTTCATAGAACTGAACACTGGAGGGAGACGAGCTACTAATACTGGAGGATAGACGCTCTATGAGACCACACATGAGCCTGACGGAAACAAACACAGGAGGTTAGCTGTCTGGAAATAATGTTGATTTGTTCAAAAGCCAAATTATGACAAGTCACTGAGATTAGCCATACACTATTTTCTCTCAGTCTGTTAACAGGCTTGAACTTGTTGCTTTCAAAATTGGGTGTATGTGTATATAATCAGCCAGAGAAGCAAATATAATATAAAATAGTTTGTGAACACTGGGGCATGCCTTTGCTTTTTCTCATAAAGCTGGTGCAACAGTTTGACTTGACATTTTTACTTTCAGAGAATTGACGCCGAAGATTATTTTACAACAAATGTATAACATGAATTAATTTAAAAATAATTTGCTTCACTGGACTATAGGACTGTCTACATTTAACCATTACATTAAAGAAAAAACGGCTAACTGGACCCAGAAATGCAGGTTACAAAGCCAGCAGCTGTGTGTGAGTATTCTGGATGGTTGTGTGTGCATGCTTTTGTCTGTGTCCTGTGAGGAAGCCCACCTGAGACCACTGAACCTCTCCTGTGCCCAGGTGCTGTTGTACACCACATTACATAACACCTTCATGGCCTCTTTTCTCTGCAACTCCTCCCCTGACTCCCCCTCCTCCTCCACTTCCTCCCCTTCCATTTTGCTCTCTCTGCGGTCCTTCCTCCCTCGCTCCAGCACTTTGTGATGGATGCTGCCTCTGTGCATTTCATTGATGCTGGTCCTGTGGCTCCCGAGACAGCTGATGCTGTCCAGATCTCCGCTGTTGGCGTTGCTGATGTCACTCTTGGCGTCGTCATCAAAGGCGGAGCACTCTTCGTATTGCTCGTTGGCTTCAACATCGCCTTCGCCCTCATCGGTGTGAGACTGCAACACTTTGGCCTCAGCGAGAGAAACGATGATGTTATCGTAGAAATCAGAGTCAGGGTCGCTGGCTTCGTCGCTTGCGTCACATGTCGTCAGTCCAGCGAGTTTGGCCACAGTCAGGAGAGCGCTGTCGGTCACCAAGGGGCCCAGGACCTTTTTGTCTCTAGAGAGTATTCTCAGGGTGCGTAGACATACCCTCAACAGACGAGATTTAACTCCTGTTCTTATGAACCTCAAAAGGACAGCAGCTAAATTCTGAGGACAGAAAAAGAAAAAGACATTTAATGTAACACCAAAGAACAACTGATAATACCTCTGAGAAAGCAGAAAGTGAGTCAGGTACCTGTCTGAGGATGAGGCCTCGATCCTCCTGGTCGTACTCGTCACAGTCGGAGTCAGAATCAGTGTAGTCCCTCACTTTATTCTTCTTGAACTGGTACAGTAGGGCAAAGAATAAACAAGGTCAAATGTTTCCTAATTTATAGCAATACGATTATTTCTAAACTGTGGCACTGTACCTCTTCTAGTTTTCTTTGCTTTAAGAAGTGAATAGTCCAATTTCAGTGAGCAATGCAGCAGAAGAAAGAAAAGATAGCATCAGTATATATTCTGGTCACCACTATGAATCAGGGTTGTTGTAAGGTCATAGCAAAGAGTTTCTTCTGAAGAGCTGTTCTAAAAGCTTCTAGGCTAAACTAAGAAAAGGGGTGGGTTTGACATTCTGTTTCTAAATTGATTTACTATGTCTCTAGTGATTGGTTGACAGGTAAGCAGTGTCGGTGAGTAAAAAGTATCAATACATAGGAGCGTGAAATTTGAACTAGATCCTCCATGGGGTTAATCTTGAAAAAAGTTTTCAAAATGTAAAAAAATTAAAATAAAATTATGAATTAAAATAATGAATCACTAATTAAATTAAAATCTAATTAAATGAGATATCTAGTTTAATTAAACATCAAATTTAATAATTATTAAAAGAAATTTTTAAAAATTACATTTAAATAAGAATTTAGGTAAATATTTTTTTAATGCTTTTAAATTAAATTAAATCAAATGATTACATTTAAATAGAAAAATATTTAAATTTTTAATGAAATCAATATAATTTTATTTTTATTTAAATTAAATTAAATTAATACAAATAAATTAAATTAATTTCAATTTAATTCAGTTAATTTCAATTAAATTAGATGAACAGAACAGTTATTTTAATTTTTTATGGAGGCAGCATTTGTCTGATTCTGATTTGTTCTGCTTCTCTCAGACCTACTTTAGTATTACAGTGCTTTATGAATTACTTTTAGATCAAGAGCTTATAGGAGCCCTAAACTTTGGACTAACACAGCCTGTATTTTTGTCTTAATTCAGCTAGTTAAGAGCTACTTTTGGCCTTAGGATGTTCGTGAAGGCCCCTGAACTGCTGTTCAAGGGCTGCAAAGTGTTAATAGATTAACATGCAGTATGTTTGTTATTCAATCACTCTGCCTGGGTTCAATCTGTCTAAGCATGCAAGGAGAGAGGATCAGGGACAACTGATACAGCAGAATTACTAATCACAGATAGACTGGGGGAGAGGTGGGGAGGGGTGGATGAGACGGAGGAGTGGGGGGGAAATTGAGGTTTAAGGAACACAGGTATGACATAAACCAACTTACTTTCCTTCGGTCCCTCTCCTCAGCATCAAAGAAGAAGCACTGAGCAAACTGTAGAAGAGAGACAACGACAAAATGATGGTCTGCAAATGCCATGAGCAGCAGTGCATCATCCACACACACCAATGTGTTTACCTCTTTGTTGAACTCCTGTAGCTGTATCTGAACACCATTCTCATTCCCCTGCTTGATGCACTGGATAATCCTCTCTAGGTCCACGTCCATGCTTCCTGCGCACACACACACAGGGAGACGAATAATCATTCAGTCCATAACAAAATTAAAGTTACACAACAATAATGATGATGATGTGACAGAGGTTAAGCATTATTAAATACAAATGAATAAAAACACATCATGTACAGGATATGTTTGGTCTGTTATTCATACAGAATGCAAAAATAAATCAATGTGAGACATTTAAAGGCAGAAATTATATACTTTCTGTAAAATATTCATCCTACAATCTTATCGTTATGACAACTGCATCAGTTTGATGCATACTTCCTGACTGATAAAGGCTGAATCTAAATCTTTTACATTACACTTACACCACACTGAAATGTTATGTTATATTATACACACACATATACGACTGCAGAAAGATTACAAGAGTTTAATTCCATATGTTCATCTAAACTTACCTTCTGCAATTCACTTAATCAGCCAGGTGATATAACGTAGGTGTGCCAAAATCACCTTAAATGTGCCAAACCAAAGTACTGTCACAACTAAAACTTTCCTTCAACTCGCTTCCCAGTGTTTCTCTCTCCACGTATCCACAGTATACTATTCTCAGCCTTCGAATTTGCTCAGTTCACTTGCTTTCCAGTTACTTACATGCGCTCAGCATATCTCTGTATCGCTCTGTCTCACTCTCTCTCTCTCTTTAATCCAAGAGAGATGCAGGAGCCATGGAGTGGTTATGGTTATAATCCACTAATGGACTCTAAGCTTATATCACTCAGTGTTGACCCTCTAACCTACAGGTTTTCCAGTCTTGTGCTGCTCATCTCTCTCTCTATTTTAGTGCTTTAACACTCTTTCCCTCAAATCTCTTAATAGCTTGGGAATCACTGAAAAAACCTTTGTTTTTTTTAATCACGCGTCTTGCTGTTGCATAAGCACACTGGAGCTATTGATGGAACTGCATCTGCACAGTCACCTAAAGACACGCTATTTTTCATCTTATGGCTTAAAGCTTAAGATGTCTTTATATTGATCAAGATCTTTCCATCATGTAAACGACGAGGTACTGTGAATTACATATTGTGCATACTGTATTATAATTGCTGTTTGTGTCTAGTCCCACAAGATGGAGCTATTTTCATGGTTGAGTCAATCCCACCAGTAAGTCCAAACAGGATGTTTACCTCTTGCATAATATGTGTGCATTATAAAATGTTGAAGGTTTAAACTCTTATACAAATCTACATTAAATCAAACAATCTGCAGTAAGGCAAAAGCAAACATACTGCTTAAATTAAGATGTCATTCTAGTAAATAAACCACACCTAACCTACTTTCAGCTGTCACACACAACATACTGTAAATATAAAGTTTACACATGCAAAGTGTTTTGAGTGCCCTAAAAGGCGTAATCTGTGAGAAGATGATGTGTGAGAGAATGACAGGGTTTCCTGGCAGGATGCTAACTCTTGTGCCCAGTGGGTAGAGGAAACAGGGCTCGGAGGCTGAAGTGGCCGGCTGGTGGCTGCAAGTTTACAACAACAGGATGCACACTACGTCGGCGATAGCGGGAGAAAAGTCAGAGGAGTCCTGACAAAGTGCTCTCATGGAAGTAAGCGCACATATTCCTCCAAGATGAATTAAGACACTTGAGATGTAGGAAATCAACATGTCAGAGGTACAAGAGACTAATGACCCTCAGTAACCTTTATAACAGTGGGGAAAAAACCAACCATTGTTACCGACATACACAATCCAGGACTATTTGCTCCAGTCATCCTCACACAGACTGACATCATGATTAGGTGTCGTAAAGGCTGGGACGCGTGATACGACATGTAGCCTAAACCCAACTGAACTCTGTTCGACTTTAAGTGTCAATCCACTTTAATGGGAGTATGATCTGATGATTTTTTGTTTTGTTTTTTATGATATGGTCCCTGGGATAGTATGGCTATTTTATGTTATGGTGAATATGTATAAAGTCAGTAAATATAAGTATGAAGTCAGTTAATGAATTACCCATTTACTCGTTTATATATTTAAAACATTTTCCTTTTTTAATATTGCGTGAATTTATTGCATTTTTATACTATGCCTATGTACATTAGTTGTCAGTAATCAACACTGAAACAACATTTCAACCAACACTTGTTATTTTCTATCTTTTTCTATCTATCCATCTTGGATGTTTACAAAATAAGACACAAAGCACAATATTTTGTATCATTGGTTAAATGAAAAACGAGGTATTACACATATTAGCCATATGGATTTATAATTACTTCTAAATTTTATTGCAGGGAACATAAAATACACAAAGTCCTGATACTCTGCTGAGACTCAAGAGGAGAGTATTGGGACTTGTTTCACACGTCAACATTAGTGTAAGACTGCCACTAATGATTGTTTTAATCATCAATTAATCTGCTTCTCACTTGATAAAGTAATCAATTGGGTAAAAATGTCAGAAAAGATAGAAGATGTACTGACCAACCATCTAAGATCCAAAGATATTCTGTTTACAATAACATAAAACAAAGAAAAGCAACAAATGTACGTGCTCCAGAAGCTGGAATGATGATTTATTTTTTAAATAATTTTTGCTTCAAATTTACTTAAACAACTAATCCAACAGTTGGTGACTAATTTCATTCATAAAAGCTGATAGCCTAATCCATTAAGTGAGTCACTGTTATAGCCGTTATCAGTGACAAAGTATGTGGTTATTTGGAATTGCTGACGTGCTGAAATCCAGACACAAGTTACTGGTTTCACACGTAAATCCTGTGTGAAATCACAAGATATATAACTGCTAATGCTCTGCTGTGCACGCGCACCAGTGATGACTCAGTGAACCTGTCTGACAACCCTGCACAGATGGTAGTAACAGGAAAGGAACACAATAGACTTATGGGGAAGTTGTGATTCACAGAAAGGGAGAAAGGCTGGAAGAAACAGAGCGCGCAGGTTGTAAACAATTAAACGCGGCCCTGGCTCCCCGTGGATTTACTGTATTATAAAAAGATTTGTTTACGGGACAATTTCCTGGGGAGATGTAATTTGGCAATGTGGCAAACCTGAAAAGTTCAGTATTTATTATTTCTTTCTAAGATATAATTGTATCAGATTATTTCGAAAATCTGATTTATTATCTTTGTGGACAGGTGTAAGATTGAGAAGTTGTTTTTGAAACACTGTATGCGAGAGGCCTGCAGGGGTGGATGTGAGTGAAGGACATTTCAGGAATACACACAGTGACGGCAAAAGTGACTCAAGGGAAAAAGGCACAGGAAAAATGGGCGATAAAGAAAAGCCTGGAGGAGAATTGGGGTTATTCTGGGCGCTGCTGGCTTCCTGCAGGTGATGGAGATGAAAGAGTGATTTCTGGAACAATTGCTCAGCAGCAAGTGGAGAGAGAGAGGAGAGGGATGGAGGAGGATGTGGATAGGGGGGGAGGGTTGGTGGAGCAAAGACTGAACATAAGAATCAATGTCAACATCAACAAGGTACAAGGTCACCGCAAGTATAAGTACAATGTTGTGTTTGCTCAGAGGCTGTTCTTAAAAGGTTGTTTATGCTTACATCACATCTCCTGTAAATAGAGGATAAAACTGCCACCGTAACTGATTAATTACAAGCGTGGGAGTTGGACTGCATGTATGACTAGTACGTTACAGACACACCCCCTCACCCGGCCATCACACTATAAAGGACCAGGAGTGGAAAGGGATGACAGACTTGGACATCCAACCATTAGCAAGGGACCACGAATGGTTTACTCAAAAAGCAACAGCAGGGTTTTGAATTATCTTGGCGGTAAGTTTCTTCCTGGAAACAGGTCTCTAATCCATAATCTTTACTGATTCTCTTTTGTGGCAGTGTTATTACGGCTAATATTGAATTGTACAGATGATGTATTCGTAATAAGTCTGGTCAGGATATGTATGTATATATGTCTATATGTTTTCCTCATCATCACTCATGATGTTTCTTCCACAGGACATAGCGGTATGGAGATAGCTGTTCTGCTGCTGCTGACTCTGCCTTTGACTGCTGCCACGCCACTCAGACCAACTCACAGGTTAGTGAAAAACATCAGCAAATAAACAGATACTGATAGAAGAGAAATACAGGCAGCAACCATAATTCATTTCTGCCTCAATAGTGATATTGGAATTTAGACGTAATGAAGGAAAAACTGGACTACATATTGGTTTATCTATATATTACAAATGCTTATATTACCCTTTTCTGATGGATCCACAGGTCGGACGCAGACACCGTCCACACAGGAGACGCTGTCCAGGCTACGGGGGTGACAAGGTCAGAGGACACACAGGAGCAGCATGCTCAAACACTGAAGATCATCCCATTTCAGTCAGAAGACAAACATCCAGACCTCGACGCACTGAAACGCAGGTACAAAAGAGCTTATACATTCACAACATAGTGTGGGTGGCTATTAATAGGAAACTACAGAAGCGCTATGAGTACAAGGAATGGTTGAAAACGCAAAAAACACAAAAATTGTTTGTTAAGATTATTATCTATTTGAAAACTGGAGATGATTTTGTAAATGTATGTGATGCTTTAAAAAGCCTGAACTTGATTCTCTCTCTCCTCCTCTTCATCACTTTACAGCATGGCAGCGAAGTTGCGTCCACGACGCGAATGCCACCTTGGGACATGCCAGGTTCACAACCTGGCCAGCCGTTTATACAACTTAAGCAAGAAAAGGGGAAAGGATGAGTCAAAAAATGCCGACAACCCGCAGGGATACGGCAGATAGGGCCACGAGAAATGAAAAGCTATGGACTAACAAGGCGGAGAGCCTCCATCTATTTACAACCAAATATCTCTGTATGTTCTGACTGACTGACTGGTACTCATCATGGATTTATGCTTAATCATATTACTGTTTTTATATTTAAATGCATTGTACAATAAATATTTAATATAAAGAAATGTGTGGAGTTTTGCATATTTAAACGCTAGGGTCTTGAAAACAGTCTCCTACAGGTTGAATGCTACTTACATACATGGACTAGCTTCAGAGCCTTTTAAGGTTTTAGGGGTCCTGAGACATTTTTCTCACACTAGAAACTCTCTTATAATGACTACATATTAAGTACAGTATATTCCCTTCCTATTTTCAATTCACCTGAATGACCACATACTCTGAATGTGATGCTAAAAATGTTTCTGCATGCAAATAATTCTGGCTTTCATTGCCTTTGAGGGTGTGAGGCATGTGCCCCGCTCGCCCGGTTGGAAATCCAGGCCTGACAGTGAGATATTTTTAGACAACCGTGAGACCAGCAAATTCCTCGACACACAAGCTGGTGTATCTTCAGTTGTCTGTCTGCTACAGTGGTGTCAAAATGTGTGTCATCAGCGGCCAAGAGCCTTTTTCTTTCCAATCTCAACAACATGTGATATCACTCACCCAGAGAGAGGGAGAGAGGGAGGGAGGGAGGAGGAAGGGTCTTAGCAGTGAGATGAACTCATGTTGTAAAAGGTTTATAATCAGCGTTGGCCCAGCTCAGGTGTGTCAAGTGTCTGTGGTTTTGACTAACCCCTCCTATATTTCCCCTTTGGAGGACTGTATTTGCCAATTGTCTGCCTCTTGTAAAAAAAACCACACCCTAACCTGTTTGTTTGCTCTGCACCTAACGTTAGTTCCCTAGACAGTGGCATTTACATGCTCAAAGCAACCCAGTAAATTAGCCTACTGACTGGAAAATGATCAGAAAGAAATCCTAGAGTCCCCCGCCTCCTCACTACCATCTCTCCCTGAGCCAAACAGAGAGGAAAAACCATGAGAGACACAGGAGGAGAAGGAGACGAAGTTGACAAAGACTGTAAATCTGAGAAGGACCAGGTGGGTAGGCTCTCCATTACACTCTTTCTGCTCCTGTTGTGATCCTGTACTGGTGTTTGGGGACTAAAGCACTGACAAAAGTAACAAATTAAGAGTGTACAAAGTGGAAGTTGTGACGCAAGTTAGATAATTAGAGTCACAGTGACGGACGATGAATCAAATGGTACACACATGACTAATACTCACAGTGTGGTGCCTGTTGTTGGTTAACCAAAGGCACTGTAGCCCCAGCGTTAGCAGAAACTGGCTGTCGTTAAAGCCAGTTTCTGCTCATGTCATGTTGTCACTGTGTTTACTTGTCAAACCGGAGGAAGTTCAGCTAGCTCGGCTGCGGAAAGAGACACATTAAACAGTTTTTACAACTTACAACTAGTAACGACAAAGGAGCCGGTTAACGTTATTTACATTACGTTTAGTTAGCTGAATGACTGTAAAAACAAAAGCCAGAGCACGCCCATTATTGTACGTAGCTTCTGCTCGACGGTGAGCTAACGATAGCACACTACATTTAACCAGCACTACACAGCTTTTAGGCTTCAAATGAACTAAAAGCTGTCACAAACGGAGCCCACAAACGGAGCCCACCGTTAAATACCGTGATACAGCCAAAGGATGAATAAAATGAGATGAAAACAAAAATGTGGCTCTGTCCTCCTCACAGCACAGGTGTAGCTAATAAAACTAACATTAATAATGGCTGCGTTCCGTTTAGGTGTGCCAGCCCAAATTGAACATGGTGTATGGTCAAAATGCCCTGTGAGGCATACACATTATTACATAGCTCTTGATGTGACAGTGCATTAAACAATTAATTTCTTCAAATAAATAAACTCTTTTTAGTGTACAGTCCAGTTTCAAGTTGTAAAGAGACCAGTGGGGGCCCTTAGTTTGACATGTAGGTTTGGAGTTGTACTGCAGAATGCACTGAATATATCTTCACACAGTAGCAGCCTCACACACGTTCCCTTTTCTTACACATACACATTTATAAACTGGAGCTGAAACTGCAGCACCACGTCAGAAGTCACAGTCAGGTGTTTAGGCACGGCATATCTCACCAGGTACTTCTCTGAGCCAAAGTCAACCTTTCTCATTTGAATGGTTTACTACACTTTGTGGCCACATGATTTCCAGACGTAGAAAGGTAGGGTCTGAATTACACTTTTTAAAATACAGCTTGCATAGAAATTCAGTTAATCCACCTGTTGTGATGATGTTTACAGAACTGGATCCCCAGAATCATCAAGAAAAGAGTGTGCACCACCTTTGTGGAAGATTCCTTCAGGTACGGTGAACTCACACATTCCTCTGAGGGTACTAATGTCTCCCTGTTGACTGTGTGATGCAACAAACAATGATGTGTTTGTAACATGTAATTATCCTCTCACCTCACACAGTAATGGCGCGCTGTGCCAGTGTGGGGGTGCAAGAGATGCCCACGCCTCTGTGGCTCTCGGTGACTACTTCAGCACAGCGATTGTCAACCACTGGGACAGCGCCCAGCACTCCTCTGAATACCCGACCGACGCCTTTGGAGAGTTGCAGTTTGCAGGAGCCAGCAAGAGGCATAGCTATGTAGGTAGACTTATTGTTGGCCTGATACATTTTCTTTCTTTAAATGCTTTATTTCTATAGAGGTTATGATAAAATATGTGTTTTAAAGACAAATGCCTCTTAAAGTGAGCCACATAATGATTCAAATACACCAAGAACTGTAGTAGTCAATACTTCTGCTTTTCCTAACCTACACCCAGACACAGTGCACTGATATTGACGTCCCCTATCTGTACTGAGAATCCTTTGCTTTGTCCTAACTAATCTGAAACACTTACATAATTTAACACAGGTTTTGATTATAAAATTCTCTGATTGATTACACAATTCTTTATTTTTTTAAGTCATAGGTTTTGAACTATGTTCCTTTTGTAATCGATAAAATCCATTCAAGTCCATTTTGTCTCTCATGGGGATCTCAGTTCCTGCGTCTGTCATGGGACACGCCTCCGTCTATGATCTACACACTGATGACAGCCCACTGGGGTCTTCCCGCACCCAACCTGGTGGTTTCTGTAGTGGGTGGAGAAGGCAGGACAAAGGTAAAGACTTGGGTACGGGAGGTCCTCCGTCAGGGACTGGTGAAAGCCTCACAAAGCACAGGTAAACATACCATGAAACGGTAACTTCAAACACTGCTGTAAAGGTGGGTCATAGGTTACACGCCAGTTAAACATATTGTGAAACTCATATACACAGTTTACAGTATTACTGATATTGATTAGTTTCAACTTATGAAACAGTTTGTCTATGTTCAGCATGTGATGTCATGATTTTACAGACTGTTCCCCATGGCATATAACATTTAATATATTTTGACTGGTGTTTCAGGGTGAAACCATTCAGGCTTAAAAAGTCTTAAAAAAACAGTAAATTTTATTTACTTAAAAAAGACGGTTCATTCATTAATTCTTTCATCCATTTTCTGCCACTTATCCAGGACCAGGTTGCGTGAATAAAAAAATATATAAAATAAAAAAATAAAAAAATGGATCATATCATTAGGAATTATTGTTATATACTGCCTGGACATCAAATAATAAATATGATAATGAGTAATTCTAGTATTGTCCCTACTGCTTTTCCATCATACCAACCTATACTGTGAAACAGGCATCAAATTGCCTTCTATGTGGTATTAAAAAGGTCTTAATAGGTAATCACCAACAACTTGCAGAAGCCCTGAGTATAGGGACAGATGCTTTGGTCTGTTTGAAGCTATGTTAATAGCCTTATATTGATTTACTCACTGTCCTCATTTTTTCTCACTCTTTTACAGCTGATACATTTTCCTAACTGGTATTTTAGCTTCGTATACCTTTTATAGCAAAGCATTGAGTAACATCAGATTCATTCAGATTCAATTACTTCCTCAAGGTGATTATATTATTTGTGTGTGTGTGTATATATATATATATATGTATATATATAGTATATCTATATGGATACTATAGATATATATATATACACATATATTGTCATTCAACAGAATCAACTTTTTCATGACTGATATACATACTAATATTGTGTATTTTTGTTTGTGTAAGATTTTTCACATGAAGTCAAGCCATTTTGTGATAACTTACGTAACTTAATACTGTGAAATAATGATTCAACACTTTCTTGGAAGACACAGAAACTACTCATGTTGGTTTGAGTTGGAAAAATCCAGCTGTTACAGAATGTAGTACCATTACGCTATATTTTTCCCTTGGGTTTGACCCTAATTTGGTACTACAATGGCCATTTCCTCTTGGCTACTGTGCCAAGTGCAGGTGGCACACAGTGATACTGCTCTCCCGTCATCTGAGGTCACTTTAACTTGCTGTTCTCTTGATTAAAGCAAAGATAAGACCTGTAAAAACATTAGGGCGTAGACATGGACATACAAGGGGGAACACATAGACGCAGGTTGCTTGGCCCTATTGCAAACATGGTGGGGAAGGTAAAGAATACAGCACAGGGCTGTAAAAACAGCTGGCAAAAAACATAAAACATAATATGCAAATGATAAAAACATAAGTAAGATAATTTACATCAGATCAAATCCAGGAGTTTGGTGGAATATGTTTTAATGATTTACTTGATATTACAGAAGTAAAACAAGCAAACAGACAAACAATTATTCTTCTCTTCTAACATTCACTGTTTCTTTGTTCCACCCAGGAGCGTGGATCTTGACGGCAGGCATGCGCGAAGGCGTTGGCAGATGTGTCGGAGAGGCAGTGAGGGATCATGCCGCTGCAGCCTCTTCGGTCTCCCTCAGCAAGGTGGTGGCGCTGGGCATCGCTCCCTGGGGCCTGGTGCACAACCGACAGCAGCTGGTCAACCCTCAGGTTGTACAGACACTCACATACTGTATTTACTAATTTATTTACCCCTTAAAAAATATTTCTAGTTTTCTTTGTTTCTCTTTTTTTATAATTAAGTTTTTAGTTGCCTTTTTTTTATTGGGAAAAATTAAGGGTCTCGGTTTAAAGGGGGCAATTCTGTTCTGTATTATAGCCCCACCTTGGGCTTTACATTCAGCTAGTTCAGCTGTAAGTGTTAAAAAGTAAGGAAAATGTATATATCTTTCGTTGAAGAAACTCTGCTATATCATATCCCTGGATTCTTCCTCTTGCAGGGCAGCTTTCCTGCGAAGTACTATGTCCAGAACACATCCCGGGACTCCTGCTGCCTGGACAACAACTACCAGGCCTTCCTGCTGGTGGACGATGGGAGTGTGGAGCGCAGAGGAGGAGAGAGGGGGTTCAGGACCAAACTGGAAGACTACATCTCCCACCAGCGCACAGGCATCCGCGGTGAGAGATAAATATAATATTTTGCATTGAATCAGAATAGAATAATTTAAAGAAAGCAGTTCTCCTGTATATATTCCAAGAATGTATTTATTTAAACTGAATGTAAAGAAGATGGAAATGGCACAGTCCTCTTTCAACCATAAACACTCTTTCACGTTCATCCCTGATTTCAAGCTACTTGGCCCTCTTTTGGCTAACCTTTACTATTGCATGTGATGATAAGTGGATCCTCTGGTATCTACTGGATGAAAGCCGTTGCATGCCATGGCAAGAATTCTTCAAGACACCATTCTTCAACATGTAAAATCAAGCAGTGATTTGTCCAAAATGTAACAGGGTGCTCTTTCTGTGTCTGTGCTCTCTCTAAGCTCCTGTGTTATGAGAGAAATATGCAGTTATATTGTTGATCATAATGTTTGCATTAAAGTGAATTCAGTATGAACAAATAATGTACCAATGCACTGTAGGTTAAAAGTTTTTGTATATTTGTAGGCAGTGGCAGCATTGACATCCCTGTCCTGTGTATGCTGGTATCAGGCGAGGCGAGCATGCTGGAGGTACAGTCACTGCTTTTTTATGTTGGTTGATTGTCAAAAAGAAATGATTAGTTTTAAGATTAAAATTGTATTTTATGTCCCTATATTCTGTAATAAAATGTCTCTCTTTCTCTTTTCCTAATTTCTGTCAGAGAGTGGATCTCTCTCTGAAAAACTCCATGCCCTGGCTGGTACTGGCCGGCTCAGGAGGCCTGGCGGACTTTTTGGGCGACGTCTTGGACAATCTGTCCTCGGCACCAGTTGTCCAGTCTTCCAATGAGGGAAATGGCGAGGCCAGTTCCAATGTGGATCTGAAAGACAGAGTGGCAGAACGGGTTAAGAAGCACTTCCCTTCTGAAGCAGAGTCAGAAAAACTAGTTGAACGGGTAAGCGGCATGGACTGAGTGGTTGTGGGATTGTTGACAGGAAGAACAGGAAGAAGCTGAACATTCAGCAGCTACTGGTTATTAATAATCTTGCATGTTTTCAAATGTTCTTGGTGGCCCTTTGACTGCCGACTGTTATTCATGGCCTAATGTGGTTATTTTTATAACACAAAAACATGAAAAACTATTGGCTTTTGACTATTGTATGTAGCCAATAAAGATACATTTAAAAAAAAAAAAAAACCTTGATTGTCCCTGATACCAACCCTCCAGATCTCTTGAGCACAGCGACATCAATACCTGTCCGCCTCTCTTCACTCCCAACACACCCTCCTCACAGCTGCAGCTTTAGAAAAGTATGACGTAACATCAACACCACAAGCAGACTTGAAAAAGTGCGGATGCTTATTGACTCATTTATAAGTGCCCTAATGTTTAAGTCAATCAGTAACGTAATCAGTGCCCAGAATTCAGTTTGTTCTGTTGATGAACAAGGGACCGATTACATACACACTCTTTATCTTATTCTTTTTTATTTACTGATCAGTTGTTACTGTTGATGCTTAACTTTAAATGCCCTGATATAATCTTTAAATGTCAGATATCCTGATCACTCAGCATGCTGATATCATAGATTGGACAATACCCTTTGTTGCCAAATCTTCACTATCTATCTGCTTTTTATTCTGTTTCTCAGTAGCATTCAAAATTCCTCTTTTTCTTGTCTTCTTTCTCCTTGTTCCGGGTCTACAGGCTCTGAGCATCTACCAGAACAGAGACTTTATCACAATCTATCACGGAGAGCATGAGGCCCCCAATGACTTTGACACAGTCCTGCTCAAAGCGTTGGTGGGAGGTACACACAACTCGTTCATATTCTGAAAATTGCAAACATTTTAGGTGGCAATACATGTGCTTTATGTTTATATTGACGTTCTGTGGTTTGATTCTGTGTCTTTCAGCTAGCAAGCAGCGTGCGTCAGTCGATGCAAGCCCTTACAATGAAGAGCTGAAGCTGGCAGTCACATGGAACAGGGTTGACATTGCCAAGAGTGAACTCTTCAATGGAAATATCCACTGGAAGGTGAGGGGGGGAATACAAATCACATCAGATGTTACATTCAGAGAAAAACTACCACTCTAAAGTAGATGCATTATTGTAACACAGAATTAAACACTTTTAGCCCTGCCTTGCAATGGCATTTGTGGTATCAAATAAGTATTAGCTTGCTAAAAAGAAGTATTGTATTGAAATCTGTCTAATAAAAGATCACCTTCATCCAATCAAAAAGTATGAAGACCTGGAAGATCCCATGACAGATGCCCTGATCAACAACAAGCCCCAGTTTGTGCGTCTTTTTACCGAGAATGGCCTCAACATCCTGGACTACCTGACTTACGGCAGGCTGGAAAGCCTTTACCGCTCTGTGGCTGATGGGACGGTGCTTTACCAGCTACTCCAGCGCCATCTAGTGGAGCGTCTAGGAACTGCAACTGCTGTACCCACATCAAATCTACAGGACAAGGTGGCATCAGAGGTGCTGAGTGGCCCGGGGATGGAGATCAGCCTTTTTGAGGTGGGTTTTCTGATGAGTAAAAATCCATGTTTCTGTTCTGAGTACAGTCGAAAACAAAGTGAAAGTTTACACACACACATTTGTTTGTTTCTTTATCTACCCCCTCCCTTTTTTCCTCAGGTTGCAGGAGTCCTGGAACTGTTAATTGGTGACGTCTGCCAGCCATTTTACTATGATGCTTTGGGCTTAGAACAGCTCTCATCAAAGAGGAGAGCTCTTAGGGTATTCTTAACTTTTCTGTCAGTGCTAATAAATTATTGGTTCTACAAGAGTGTGTGCGTGTGAATGTAATACCCCCTCCCCTTCTTCTTTTCATCCATTCCAGCGTGCCAGTAAGCTGCTGCGTGGAGGCTGCGGGTATCGAGAGAAGCGCTGCCTCTACCCCTGGGCTTCACTCTTCATCTGGGCTGTCCTTCAGAATCGTAGCAACATGGCCACTTTCTTCTGGGAGATGGTAAAACTGTAAAAATGTTCTGCTGCAGTTCAAATGTTCTAAAATAAGCACATGACAATCCTATAAACTCCTGCTGAAATCATCCCCAGAACTGTTTGCAGTAGACCACCAGCTTCAGTGCAAAATACTATTGTCTCTCCTAGGCAGGGGAGTCGGTGCTAAGTGCTCTGAGTGGCTGCAAGATGCTGAGGGAGCTGTCCAAGCTGGAGGGCGAGACTGAGACCAAACTGTCCATGAAAGAGCTGGCTCAGAAGTTTGAGAACCTGGCACATGGTGAATACATCATCCACTAACATTCAAAAAATGTTTAATGTTAAAACTATAACTGAAGACAATGATGATCAACAGTGAGTTACTCACCCTAATTGTTCTGCTCCCTCTTATTAGGCCACTCCTTATGAGTAAATTATGTATCACAAGAGTGATTTAGCTTTTAGCTTCCCAGATATCTTTTATTAACAGGCAGGTATTTCAGGAATTTAAAAACTTTTTCAAATAAAGTGTTGCATGCACGCCCCATGTATGATGATTCATTCACATGTCTATTCCTCTTTTCAGACGTGTTCAGCTCTTGCTATCGGAGCAATGAGAGTCGCTCTTTCACCCTGCTGATTAGGAAATCTCCAGTTTGGGGTGGCACCACCTGCCTCCAGATGGGCATGGGTGCTGACGCACGACTTTTCTTCAGCCATGATGGAGTACAGGTGTGTCACTATTTCCACACCTGTGTGACTGACGAAAAGACAACAATGGAACCCAAGTCACTGACTTCCTTGTGACCGTTCTGTTCATCCATAGGCCTTTTTTAATTGTGTTTTATGTTACAGCTCGAGCTAAAGCTTACTTCCGCTGTTATCTTTTCATCTTAACATCTTTACATTGTTACCATAATTGCAATAACAGCACATAATTCAGTAATAATGATACAATATACAATACAACACAAGCCACATCCAGCTGGTACAAACAGACAAATTTTCTCTTCTTTCTCCAGTCTCTGTTGTCCCAGATCTGGTGGGGTGACATGAAGAGGAACACGGAGGTGTGGAAGCTCCTGCTCACCTTCTTCTGCCCAGTCCTCTGCTACACCAACCTCATCTCCTTCAGGTAAAATGCATGTTAGTATTATTTCTTTGTTATTAGCATTCAGGAGATTGATATTTCAAAGCTGATACTTTACAACATACTCCACCTCACAGGAAACAAGACGAATATCAGCAAGAGCAGGAGGAGAAATCTAACGAGGACTGGCTGGGCAGGGACAGCGACAGCCTTTATGGCACCACCATCTTCTCTTTCTCGGACATTAAGCACATGTAAAACTCTTTAACTCTTTAGTGGTTTAGCATAGAATGAATGTTCTTGTGTGTTACAATAATAATGTGTCATTGTTGTACCAGTGAAGCTGATGAGCAAGGATCGCACAGTCCCAGGACGGCAACCATTAAAGGTAAGTCCACTTTAAATGTAGCACCTCTGAAAAAGTGTTGAGATTGCACAAATGACACATTTTTAGCAGCTGTTATGACTGTGACCAGCTATTAATTCATGTCCAATGACCTCCTTACAGGCATACCCCACTCTCGCAGACCGCCAAAGCGTCCATTCATAGTGTCAAGATTGCGTCAGTTCTGGTTTGCCCCTGTCACCTCGTTTTTGGGCAACGTCCTCATGTTCTTCCTCTTCCTCCTGCTGTTTGCCTACGTGCTGTTGGTGGACTTTAAGCCCCCGCCGCCCTCTGGTCCGGCCATCACGGAGTATGTGCTGTACTTCTGGGTATTCACCATTGTGTGTGAGGAGATCCGGCAGGTAAGCATGGAGAGACATTTTGCTATCTTGCAAAAGTGGATGCAAAATGTGATAATGAATATGTAATAATTTACAGTCGTTGCAATCAATCAACACCTAAAGAGTTATTTGGCATCTGATGTTGTTGTGTTTATTGCTGTGTATCATTTATGGATCTATTAAGTTGGTTGATGTTTTCTTCTCCAAGACGTTTTTGGGGATGATGGCTTGGCGTCAGAGGATCAGAGTGTACATTCAGGATCTGTGGAACAAGTGTGACCTCACTGCACTCACGCTGTTTATCATAGGACTAATCTGCAGGTACAGACAACAATTGCGCACAGCGACAGTCTGTGCTATATATTACTGCTAGGTTATGCAAAATGTATGAAATCCCATTTTGATCTCAATGGCTCTGGACCCCTTAAAACAGAGCAGTGTAATGCAAGCTGTGTCACAAGGTCACACTCACAGGATGCACAGTTAAAACTTATTGAGTTTCTAGTAGTTTGAATATATTATTTAAGTATCAGAGAATTCAATAGTGGACACGAATCAGACAAAAACATGATAAAAATTATTATGTTAGTGTCCCATAAATCCTGACTCCTGACCATTCAAAGTCTTCCTTAGTGCAGTTACTCTACAATTTGACCACTGGGTGGTGCTGTTACTCTGTTTATTTGTTTCACTCTGTCTTTCAGGATGTTCGAGTGGTCATATGAATTTGGGCGGGAGGTCCTGTGTGTGGACTTCATGGTCTTCACCCTCCGTCTCATTCACATCTTTGCCATTCACAAACAGCTGGGACCAAAAATCATCATTGTTGGCAAGATGGTGAGAAACTTTCCCATAAATTGACATTATACCCATGTTACTTAGCAGGATGTTTGGATTATAATGACTGAAAGACAACTTTCTTCTGTTCAGATTAAGGATATCTTCTTCTTCCTCTTCTTCCTGGGGGTGTGGCTCATGGCATACGGAGTAGCCAATCAGGCTTTGCTTTACTCCTACGACCCTAGCCTAGATCGCATCTTTCGCCGGGTTTTCTACAGACCGTACTTACACATCTTTGGACAGATTCCTGTGGAGGAGATGGATGGTACAAGTGCATCATGTCACTATAATAATAATAGTCACAGATTCAAAGCAGTGTTAGAATAGTGTATCTTTTGCAACCTGTAGTTAATTTCATTGTAACTTCACTGTAAAATTCACCACAGTATTTAGAATTCACTCTTATTATAACCTGATAGCAGATTTATATAATATCAAAAGACAAGGCATATTTTAATCTTCCATTTTTTGTGTGTCCCAGTGGGGAAGACGTGGGACATGGCTTGCACAGACAACATGACATTGATTCAGAACGGCGAGGAGCCGTGCAGAGTTGTGTATAGTAACTGGCTGGTGGTAATTCTGCTGGTTGTTTATCTACTGGTCACAAACATCCTGCTCATCAACCTGCTTATCGCCATGTTTAGGTAAAGAATGAAGACAGTAACGTCTATCAGTCTAGCTTATCAGTAGTCTGGCTTTGTAGACGTGCTGACACTCTGCTCTCTTTGTGTCCACACAGCAATACTTTCTCTGAAGTGCAGGCTAACAGCGACATCTACTGGAAGTTCCAGCGCTACAACCTGATCGTAGAGTACCACTCCCGTCCTTCCCTGGCGCCTCCTTTCATTATCTTCTCTCACATCAATCTCTTTATCAAGAGGAACATCCGCAAGGTGCCCTCTATCAAGATTCACCACTTTGGTCAGTATTTGAACAGGATTCTAATCAGTGTAATAAAGTCACTGCCTAATGCACATCAAATGCAAACTGGGATGTTCAAAACAAAAAACGTTGCACATTTTAAATGCCTCCAGCGTCTTCTCAATGCATTTCCACTGATGGCAGCAAATAACAGCTGAATCAGATCTGATCATTGTTTACTTCCTCATTGGCTTCATCTCAGCCATGGTTGTTTCTGCTTGGTTCAATAACACCGCCGCCGAGTTGAATGATAATGATAAATATTATTTCTATCAGCGTTGCAGTTAACAGGGAAAGCGGCTAACAGGCTAATGACGTGGGAGACCATTCAGAAGGAGGACTTCTTGACTGCCCAGAACAAAATCCAGAAAAGCAGTGACTCCGAAAGGCTCAAACGGATGTCTGTCAAGTGAGCACGCCTTCCTACACCCACACTGTAGCAGTGAAATTATTTATTTTTTGGTTCAGTCATACTGAGGTGAATGTCTCCTTTTTTTAGAGTGGATGGTGTGGTTAAACATCTGACTGAAAGCAGGGACTTTGATCACAGGCTGAGGACTCTGGAGAATGAGGTAAAATGAAAGCGCTTTTTTCAAAACATTTAACTGAGCATTTCTCTGTTTATCATTCTGTACCATTTGTGATACACACATGGCATTGCTGTAAAAGATCATTTATGTAACCTATCTTATCTTGTTAGCTTAGCTTAGCATAATGAAAGGGAGAGGGACAACGGTCTGGGGTTATGTGCCGTGCTATTTCTTTTACAATACAGGCTTACTGCATTGTTTCCAAAATGACCGATCCCTCCGTCAGATGTCTTGTTACTGTATGTCAATGTGGTTCTTTTGATCCTCCGTCTCAGATGGAGTATTGCTCAAATGCTCTCAGCTGGATCGTGGATACTTTGGCCCAAAGCAGCACATTCAAACCTCCTCGGCCTCCACCTACATTAAGAGGTATTTCTAAAATAGAAGATAATATCTTCACAAAAAAAGAACAGTGTGCGTGTAGTAATGTCATATGAATGTGACATGAAAGTTACATGAAAGTTGTATTCACTAAGCTTGACTGACGTGTTTCTGAGATAGTTTGCCTCGAGTCATATACTTTGTTCCCTCACCCTGTTTGATGTCTTCTTCTACACAGACGTCGTCCCCTCTTCTTCCAGTTCTGCCTGATTCAGCCTCGTGATGCCTTCACTTGCTAAGGGTCTGTAAAAGACAAGAATAAAGCGCTTTTACACTGGCTGTCACCAACTGACCAGTCTTACTCTTTGCCAGCCATGTTTATCACTGGACTCTTGTTTACCAAATAGTTCCAGTTGTTCTGAACTTAAAAAAGTTAAACAATAGGAATCACTACTTGGTACAGTATCGATTACGTACAAAGCTGAAGTGTGCAATCAATTTTATTAAAATGCCAAAATCAAGTGTATGTATTTTTGATGTGGCATGATATATATTTTATTCGCCAGTGCTAATATGTCTTATTGTTGTACGTTTACTGCTGGAATTCTGTTAAAAGGTCTTTATATTTGTTTTTACTGTTATATTGAAACTATAATGTGTTTTACAGGGATCACATAAAGTGCACATTGTAATAATTTTGTGTTCAGTTACTTTATGGAGTTATGGTTGCTTTTAACAATCTTAAATGTTATGTCATGTATTTGTGTTGCTACATTATTTTATTCTGTTCAATAAATAGTTTTTACAGTATAATGTGTTAATTTACTGTTACTGTTAAAGAAATAACGCTAGTTTGACATTTTAAGAAACACTTTTTTCAGAGTGAGAATGATAGCACTGTAAAGCGTCACTTAGTTTACAGCCAAAGTATCTGTTTCCTTGAGTCTTCTTATCTGACTTTTGGCAAGAAAGCAAAAAAGTTCATTTGATGATGAATGGAGCTCAAGTGTGGAGAGTCCCTAGAGACAAAAAGACCTTTAAGGGTAAAGCATGGTGTGGTGACATTAGTGGATGAAATATTTGTGAATGGAGCCAAAGTACAACATGCTTGGTACAAAGGAAGTAAAACTGAACTAGATATGGCATTAAATTATGTTAATGTAACAAGAGAATCACTGAAGGAATGTGTGATTAAAACATAGGAGCAAGGTAGTTGGATATGTAGAGAGAATGGTGTATGGATAGTGTGAAAGGTGCACCATGGTGCAGAGTTTCAGTATGCTCGAGCTCTATTGAAGGTCACATAGTGGAGCAGGGCTATTGAAGGAGCCTTTACTCTAAATAGCCGGCTGGGCCACCTGTCAATCGCAGCAGCGGCTCACACTGAGAGAGGCGGTGTCATCACTTTCTGCCTTGCTGCTCCCTCGCTGCATGACGGCTGCATGTGCAAATATGTACCCATGTAAGTGAGCATGTGTGTCTCACTCCTCATGTCTCAGTTACTGAGGAATTCGGATTTAAACGCTCTTCATTTCACACAACCTGCTCTGCTGCTGAAAATTAATCCTCCTGTCTGTCTCATTGGGCTTTGTGTTCAAAACCCTGCAATAAAAACATTCTGTACCATTTCTGTGGAATGTCAGTTCCCCATGGACACATTGCACACGTGCAGACAGCCATCATCTCTATTTCCTTCTATTTACATCCATTCCATATTTCATTCTGACATGTCCTCCTCTGCTTTAGGATTGGCCAGCAAATATTACTTTCGCTGTTGAGACGGCGTCTGAGAGGTATTGGTTTAACCCCTTGGTAATTTAATTGACTTTGTTATTGACTATACTGCAAGCTGTTTCGTAATATTTTGTGTATCTTTATCTCCACTGAGGCCTTTATTCAAATGGTTCTGCCTTTAAATGTGCAGTTGTGCATTCCTGAGTGTATCCAGGTTTAATAGACGCTTCAGTTGAAAGACAAGTAGTCCATTAGTGCACTTGACTACACTACACAACTTTATTAAGGTGAGAAGAAAGATTCCAGTCAGTTATTGCTGTGCGTGAATATCATCTGTTTTTTTTAATGTGTCTCATTTAGAATTTCCTGACTGTAGAAACATCAATAGGGGCATCCTGGTAGCTTACCGCAGCAGCCTGGGTTCAATTCCAACCCGTGGCACTTTGCTGCATGTCATCCCCCTTCTCTCTACAGCTGCTCCTACAAATAAACACAATTAAAGAACATACAAAAAACATTAAACAAATGAAACAAAACAATAATAAAGTAATAAATAACAGACATGAACAGTTAAACACATAAAGGTGCGAACATATATGTGTATATCTGTATCCATATATTAACATACATAAAGTGTTGCTTTCCTCAAATAGTTTAGCACTATGACAAAATTTATATCTGAGTAAAATCACATCAACTTATTGGAATGATTTGATGTAAGTAATTGAAGTTCTCCCTCCCTCTCATTTCCATATGTTCTTTGACCTCTCTTTTCCCCACCCTCCTGCAGTCCAAAAAGCCCCATGCACACACCCACCTCCCTAATACTCTGGGTTAAGGGCATCAGGAGCATTCTTCCCGGACATGTGCCTCTGTCACTCACGCAGCCACACAACTACACCACACACCCAGTTGTGTTTCCACTGTGTCCTCTGTGTTCTAGCACAAGGCTGGCACACTGCTCTGACAGTCTTGTGAACTCGGGCCTCCGCTCCCCGTCTCTCTGTAGCTTGAGCAAAGATCTGAACAATATCCGTGAATCACCTGCAGCTCCATTACGTTTTCTGTGGATTTGATGTTTTATTAGTGTTAAATACCAATCGATTGTTTTTGGTGTGGTGGAAGGAACAGAATCGAGACATTTATTCAGCGTGGATTTGTAGTTCTAGAAGAGGTCTTTAACTGTGTACGTCTTCCAAAATGGCACCTGTAAAAGGCTGGGTAGTGGGGCTCCTGCTGGTTCTCCTGTGCCCATCCCAGCTCCCGCTCTCTGGTGTCGTGAGTGCCCAGGAAGTGGGTGAGGAAGGCCTCCATGCCAGAATTGTTGAGGAGGTTGTGGCCGACGAGGGTGAAGCCGCTGAGGATGACGATGGAGCTGGTGAAGAAGAGGAACAGGTAGCAGAGGAGGAAGATGGCGAAGACGAGGAAGAGTCAGATGATGATTCAGAGGCTGATGAACAGGAGGCAGAGGAGGAAGAAGAGGAGGAAGAAGGGGAGGCTGAGGCTGAGGAGGAAGAAGAGGAGGCTGAGGCTGAGGAGGAAGAAGAGGAGGAAGAAGAGGAGGAAGAAGGGGAGGCCGAGGCTGAGGAGGAAGAAGAGGAGGCTGAGGCTGAGGAGGAAGAAGATGAGACTGCCGAGGAGGAAGCGGAGGCTGCTGAGGAAGACAAGGTTGAGGAGGAGGATGAAGCTGTGGAGGAGGACGAGGAAGAGGAAGAGGAGGAGGCAGCAGAGGAAGAAGAAGAGGAAGAGGCTGCTGAGGAAGAGGAGGAAGAGGAAGAAGCTGCAGAAGAGGAAGAGGAGGTAGAGGAGGAAGAGGAGGAAGCCGCAGATGAGGAAGAGGAGGAGGAAGAGGAAGAAGCTGCAGATGAGGAAGAGGAGGACGATGCTGAAGAAGAGGAGGCTGATGAGGCAGCAGCAGAGGAAGATGAGGAGGAGGAGGCTGCAGCTGAAAATGAGGAAGAAGAGGAGGAAACAGAGGAGGAAGAGGAAGAGCAGGCAACTGAAGGAGAGGAGTTAGATGAGGAAGAGGAGGCTGATTATGCTGAGGACGAGGAAGAGGAGGATATCGCTGAGGATGACTCCGAGGGAGGGAACACAACTGAAGCAGAGGAAGATGATGGTATACTCACTTTTTCAATATATTGTTTTCTTTTTAATATATTCTTAATATGTTTATTTCTTATCAACTCACTAAACTATGCAGTGATTCAGTATAATATTTTTATTCAGTAAGAATGACAAACTGAGTGTTTCCTGACTCTACAGTTGCCTCCTGACTTTGTTTGGCCGACTGCAGCTACTGCAGGAACACTGTCACACATATCAGTCCTGAAATAGACCGGCTTATCTGTGTGGTAGCTAAACCGTTCGTGCCTTTTGTTGAACCAATGTGGCTATTTTGAGACCCCCAAACAGGTAATGTGCTGCTAAAGTATGTGAGTTCAGAAAAAACAACAACATTCAGACAGAAGCAATATTTCACACAGAATGTAAATCCAAAATAAAAGACGTTTAAAATGAAAAGTTAAAATAATTACTGAGTAGCCAAAGCCAGAATACCCAGTCATTTAGTTAACCTTCTAAATTCCCAGGCTTTAAAATCTGATTACAGCCGACACACCAAAGTCAGACTAATAGATTGTTGATCACTGACTTTCCTTACAATGAGAACGAGAAGAAAGATCTTTTTTTGTCTCAACTGGTGTTCATGCCGAGTTCTAATGCAACCACTTATTATTATTATAATTATAATTATTATAATTATTATTATTATTATTATTATTATTCAGCTGTGTTGGAAATTGTTCGCTCAGCTGAATCATAAAATATTATTGTGATAGAATATTAGCCTTTAACATAAATAACAGGTCCACAACCTGACACTAATAATATTGATTTCATGCTCTCTGATGTAGTTAACAGTTGACATGAAGTAGAAGCTATAGCCAAACCAATACCAGGGTTTTGAGGCTGATACTGATCCCAAACCCAATAGTATATTTTTGAACACATACAGCAATCCTGATACAGATCCCTGAGATATATTTTTATGAATTGTTCATACATATATACCAAATAGGTCATTTAACAATGTAACAGTCTGTAGCCATGCTAGATGTTCTGTGAGCTGCTGTTCTTTCTTACAATGATAATAATAGCAAGCTGTTGTTTAGCATGCTACCAAAGTATTGGTAGTATTGGTAAATCTGAACCGATGATGGTGTATTGTAATCAAAGTTATTACAATTCGTCCTCTTGGGACCAAGACCAAGTACCAAGTTTTAAAAATGGGAAATTCACAGTGGTGTTCGAGGAAAGGTCACGGGAACGCCACAGTCATTAGGATTCATCATGGGGATCATGAATGTCTGCACCACGATCTCATGGTTGCTGAGATATTTCAGTCTGGACCGAAGTGGAGGTTCATTGCAATCTCCAGGCAATGAACCTACACGGCTAGCATGGCTAAAATAGAGTTGTCAGTGCTCTCTAGTGGATGAAATATGTCGCAGTGACATGTTTTTATAAATTACCTAATTTTTCTTGTTACTTACTGGCTGATATGCACACCCAATATACGACGTTTTGCCCTAGAGGTCTTATTTGTCGCTGACTGTGTCGACTTTATATAGATGAGCCTGAGGGTGATGACGCAGCAGAAAACGAAGAGGACTCAAGTGAAGAGGAGCCCGCTGCTGATGTGCTGCAGTTCCACCCCGGCTCTTTGTGCAGTGTTTGCTCCATCTGTGAGGTAAAATGATGATTTAAATCTTTCCAGTAATGAATAAGCTTTCATGGTGGTTTACTTTTACCTTTTTAGAGTAATAACCTACTTTGACAGCTTTTCATCTTAAGTTGAAACCGCCCTGATAATAGATCAGACTAATCATAACTGTACATGGTGTGTCCCCTCCATCTTTCAGCATTGCGCTAATAACTGTGACAATTGCCCCTGTGAAGAGGGAGATCACTGTGACCACTGTGAAGTAAGCACCCCCACTGTCTAAAATGCTCTAAATAATACATTGTGTATTACATAAAGGAGGCATATCTAGTGGGACAAGAACCTCCTTATTTGAACCTTTTCTGTTGTCTTCCAGGGATGCTCTTCCTGCTACATTTGCCCCTTACTGTGTGACACGATCTGCACACCAGGTAAATACTGGTAGCAATTATTCATACTGTGCATGTACTATTGTTTATTGGTTTATTTAGTCAACTCTACTTTACGTTTGTATGTTTTTTTAGGTGGCCTTGTTGATGAGCTCACTGGGTCCCTCTTTCAGTAAGAATTCTAATTTCTCACAACACATTGATGTTTAATTGTGCAGTATGATGCTACTGCGTCATTATTTAATATATTGGGAAATGCTATGTAGCTCAGTGTTGACTTTACTCATGCCCTGCCCTTGTTTTGCAGGAGTGTTGCTTCTCTACTTTGAGCAACCCTTTAATGTCACCATGTATTTGCACGAGGTACTACGCTCAGGATTGGAGCTGTCTGGCTGTCCATACCTTTCCAGCAACATGAGGACTACCTAGGGCTTGTCGTGAACCTGACAGCTCACAGGAAAACAAAAACATATTAGGTTTTAAACTTTTGGATATTTTTTTTTAGCTTCAAGAGAGCTGGAAAAAAAATCTTTTCCTTTATTTAATGAACTGCCTACTGTACATTTTCAATGCAAAATGGATAATGACACATTGCTAAGGCGAGTTTTTTTGTTGGAGCATTATTGTAACACAGTTTTAGTTTTTTTTAGTGTTTACAGGTCAACCTTAGTGGCAGGAATCTGTATGAATGCACTAGAAAAAATACATCTATCGTCACTTGTGTAATTTGCAAATGTATGATAATTGATTTTTTACAGTAAAATTTCACACGTGTTAATACAAAAAATGTATACAACGTTGATTCTCATCTGGTAATACATTGTAAAACTTTGTTTAATATATGACAAGCACAGCTTATATCTCTCACAAATGTGCTTCCAATTAGCTATTTTTTCATACTTCTATTTCACATTGTTAACTGACTTCAAAAGTATTGTTATATGTATGTTTGTGCATATAATCATGACCACTCATTAAAATTGCAGTTGATAAAAAAAAAATTTCAATAACTTGGGTCAATAGGCCGATAAAATACTCATTCATAATAATCATTGTAACCACAACTTTGCAACAGTTTAACCCACAACTGTGTGTATAGTTAGGTATCTACCTTTAGGTTATATGGGATATGCAAATCTGAATGATTCATAATAATAAACTGAGTTTAGACTGGGAAGTTGTTAGGTGTGATTCTTTAGCAAACAAGGAGAGCTCTAAGCTAACAGGCTAACCTGGGTGAAGTCGCCGGTTGCCATGACAATCCTTTGTTCTCTTAAAAGGTGTTCAGCAACTTAAAGAAAGAAAGAAAAATCAAAACCAAAAGAGGCAAAGATATTCTGACTAGTATGATTTATATAAAAAAAAAAATAAAAACACTGGATCATAAACTTCCCACAATCCTACTTGATCTTTTTTGTTAGATTCTCTTTGAACACGTCATTCAAAGTCTAGGCCTTTCAGTTTCTAACGCAGGATTTCTGTTATAGATTTGTCGTCTCCAAGCCCAGGCTGAAAAAAAAAAAACAAGAAGGAAGCTGGTGACATCTGTTCATCTGTTTGGTATCTCAAACATTACAAAGCTCCTCCTGGGACCACAGAAGATATTATACAACTGTTTTCAAGCTAAGCAGTACTCACTGTGACAAGTGAACTGAACCTAATATGTAAAACTGGTTTGAGTGTAATCAGAAGAAGCGGAACAATTGCCGTAATGTTTTCTTTAACAAATCACTTCTATTCACCCTTTCACCTACTTATTTTTAAATTGTATCTGCTATTATCTGACCTGATAGGCTGTGCCACGGTCCTACTCAATATACTCTTTTTATTTCCTGGTAGTCATAATCTTATAGGTGTACAGTGTCCTAATCAATTCATTGCATTTCTTAAGAGATTTATGCCAACCACAACTTGCTGCAAAATAATGAAGTCAATTATCACAGATGGATCACTAAAGGAGGTGCAGCTGCTGCTCAGATGAAGCAAGGTGTTTCAGGTGAATTCTTGTCAACCCACTGAGAGTTGTTTACTGCTGAAAGGTTTTCCTGGTCTGAGTCATGGGGGAAAAGTTATTATTTGTCACTGAGACTTGGCAGTAAAAGGAGGAAGAATCCCATGAGTGTGTTGACCTTTTGATATCGAAGTATTGACACAGTCTACTTAATGTTACTGCAGCAACCAGGCTTATCCTTTTATCTACAGGCTATTAGATGAAATGCCTCTTTTATACATACGCATACATGTTACGGCCCTGGTCGTATTATTAGTTTTATTATTAGTATGTTCTGGTATTGTTGTTTTGGCCTTGGTTCACCCTGAAGTTTGTTGTTTGGTTCTTGTTGCACTTTGTTCACGTGTTTTGTAAAT